TAGCCCCCCCCCCAGGCCGAGGGAGCTCCGCCCACACCTCAGATTCACTTGCTCTGCGCAGGCCACCACTTTGTAAGCTCACCCGTGGCAGGGGCCTGTGGCCTCAGTCCGGGAAGCAGGAGCCCCGGGGGCAAGGGGCTGCAGTGCAGGGTGTGGCCACGAGGGCTGCCCTGGACATGAGGAGGTTGTTGAAGGAGATCAAAGATAATGCGGAGGCAGCAGTGAGAACGTGCGGCGAGTTGGGAAGTTGGTTTAGAACAAGTAGAGGTACGAGACAAGGAGATCCGATATCACCGAGTATCTTCATCACACACCTAGAGAGAGCGATGGACAAGATCAAGGAAGAGGTAAAAGGGATATTGGTGCATAGTATGAGAATTAACAGCCTGAGGTTCACAGATGATCTAGTTATCATTGAGGAAGATGAATAGAAGCTAGCAAGAATGGTGCAGGTGTTAAATGAGGAAGGAAGTGGTATGGACTGATTATGAATATCGATAAAATGAAGACAATGGTATTTGGAGATAAGGAAATAGGAAGGAAGATCAGTGTAGATGGGATTGAACTAGAGAATGCAGAGAAGTTCATGTATTTAGGGAGCAACATAACGTATGATCTAGTTTGTAAGAAGGAAATAGTGACTAGAATAGCGAAAGCAAGAGTGAGCTTGAAGTTGATGGATAAGATTCTGGTTTTCAGTGGGGGGCTCTGGCAGCTGGACTGCAGATGGGGCAGTTCAACCCCAGAGCCCCCCACGCCCCTGCCCCGTGGGCGTGGGAAGCCGGGAGCCCGGGAGGAGGCCGTGCGACGGCACACGGGTACGTCCATGGCACACGCCCTCGGCGCGCCAGATATATACACGGCACACGGGTACGTCCATGGCACACGCCCTCGGCGCGCCAGATATATACACGGCACACGGGTACGTCCATGGCACACGCCCTCGGCGCGCCAGATATATACACGGCACACGGGTACGTCCATGGCACACGCCCTCGGCGCGCCAGATATATACACGGCACACGGGTACGTCCATGGCACACGCCCTCGGCGCGCCAGATATATACACGGCACACGGGTACGTCCATGGCACACGCCCTCGGCGCGCCAGATATATACACGGCACACGGGTACGTCCATGGCACACGCCCTCGGCGCGCCAGATATATACACGGCACACGGGTACGTCCATGGCACACGCCCTCGGCGCGCCAGATATATACACGGCACACGGGTACGTCCATGGCACACGCCCTCGGCGCGCCAGATATATACACGGCACACGGGTACGTCCATGGCACACGCCCTCGGCGCGCCAGATATATACACGGCACACGGGTACGTCCATGGCACACGCCCTCGGCGCGCCAGATATATACACGGCACACGGGTACGTCCATGGCACACGCCCTCGGCGCGCCAGATATATACACGGCACACGGGTACGTCCATGGCACACGCCCTCGGCGCGCCAGATATATACACGGCACACGGGTACGTCCATGGCACACGCCCTCGGCGCGCCAGATATATACACGGCACACGGGTACGTCCATGGCACACGCCCTCGGCGCGCCAGATATATACACGGCACACGGGTACGTCCATGGCACACGCCCTCGGCGCGCCAGATATATACACGGCACACGGGTACGTCCATGGCACACGCCCTCGGCGCGCCAGATATATACACGGCACACGGGTACGTCCATGGCACACGCCCTCGGCGCGCCAGATATATACACGGCACACGGGTACGTCCATGGCACACGCCCTCGGCGCGCCAGATATATACACGGCACACGGGTACGTCCATGGCACACGCCCTCGGCGCGCCAGATATATACACGGCACACGGGTACGTCCATGGCACACGCCCTCGGCGCGCCAGATATATACACGGCACACGGGTACGTCCATGGCACACGCCCTCGGCGCGCCAGATATATACACGGCACACGGGTACGTCCATGGCACACGCCCTCGGCGCGCCAGATATATACACGGCACACGGGTACGTCCATGGCACACGCCCTCGGCGCGCCAGATATATACACGGCACACGGGTACGTCCATGGCACACGCCCTCGGCGCGCCAGATATATACACGGCACACGGGTACGTCCATGGCACACGCCCTCGGCGCGCCAGATATATACACGGCACACGGGTACGTCCATGGCACACGCCCTCGGCGCGCCAGATATATACACGGCACACGGGTACGTCCATGGCACACGCCCTCGGCGCGCCAGATATATACACGGCACACGGGTACGTCCATGGCACACGCCCTCGGCGCGCCAGATATATACACGGCACACGGGTACGTCCATGGCACACGCCCTCGGCGCGCCAGATATATACACGGCACACGGGTACGTCCATGGCACACGCCCTCGGCGCGCCAGATATATACACGGCACACGGGTACGTCCATGGCACACGCCCTCGGCGCGCCAGATATATACACGGCACACGGGTACGTCCATGGCACACGCCCTCGGCGCGCCAGATATATACACGGCACACGGGTACGTCCATGGCACACGCCCTCGGCGCGCCAGATATATACACGGCACACGGGTACGTCCATGGCACACGCCCTCGGCGCGCCAGATATATACACGGCACACGGGTACGTCCATGGCACACGCCCTCGGCGCGCCAGATATATACACGGCACACGGGTACGTCCATGGCACACGCCCTCGGCGCGCCAGATATATACACGGCACACGGGTACGTCCATGGCACACGCCCTCGGCGCGCCAGATATATACACGGCACACGGGTACGTCCATGGCACACGCCCTCGGCGCGCCAGATATATACACGGCACACGGGTACGTCCATGGCACACGCCCTCGGCGCGCCAGATATATACACGGCACACGGGTACGTCCATGGCACACGCCCTCGGCGCGCCAGATATATACACGGCACACGGGTACGTCCATGGCACACGCCCTCGGCGCGCCAGATATATACACGGCACACGGGTACGTCCATGGCACACGCCCTCGGCGCGCCAGATATATACACGGCACACGGGTACGTCCATGGCACACGCCCTCGGCGCGCCAGATATATACACGGCACACGGGTACGTCCATGGCACACGCCCTCGGCGCGCCAGATATATACACGGCACACGGGTACGTCCATGGCACACGCCCTCGGCGCGCCAGATATATACACGGCACACGGGTACGTCCATGGCACACGCCCTCGGCGCGCCAGATATATACACGGCACACGGGTACGTCCATGGCACACGCCCTCGGCGCGCCAGATATATACACGGCACACGGGTACGTCCATGGCACACGCCCTCGGCGCGCCAGATATATACACGGCACACGGGTACGTCCATGGCACACGCCCTCGGCGCGCCAGATATATACACGGCACACGGGTACGTCCATGGCACACGCCCTCGGCGCGCCAGATATATACACGGCACACGGGTACGTCCATGGCACACGCCCTCGGCGCGCCAGATATATACACGGCACACGGGTACGTCCATGGCACACGCCCTCGGCGCGCCAGATATATACACGGCACACGGGTACGTCCATGGCACACGCCCTCGGCGCGCCAGATATATACACGGCACACGGGTACGTCCATGGCACACGCCCTCGGCGCGCCAGATATATACACGGCACACGGGTACGTCCATGGCACACGCCCTCGGCGCGCCAGATATATACACGGCACACGGGTACGTCCATGGCACACGCCCTCGGCGCGCCAGATATATACACGGCACACGGGTACGTCCATGGCACACGCCCTCGGCGCGCCAGATATATACACGGCACACGGGTACGTCCATGGCACACGCCCTCGGCGCGCCAGATATATACACGGCACACGGGTACGTCCATGGCACACGCCCTCGGCGCGCCAGATATATACACGGCACACGGGTACGTCCATGGCACACGCCCTCGGCGCGCCAGATATATACACGGCACACGGGTACGTCCATGGCACACGCCCTCGGCGCGCCAGATATATACACGGCACACGGGTACGTGCATGGCACATGCCCTCGGCGCGCCAGATATATACACGGCACACGGGTACGTGCATGGCACATGCCCTCGGCGCGCCAGATATATACACGGCACACGGGTACGTGCATGGCACATGCCCTCGGCGCGCCAGATATATACACGGCACACGGGTACGTCCATGGCACACGCCCTCGGCGCGCCAGATATATACACGGCACACGGGTACGTGCATGGCACATGCCCTCGGCGCGCCAGATATATACACGGCACACGGGTACGTGCATGGCACGTACCTTCGGCGCGCCAGATATATACACGGCACACGGGTACGTGCATGGCACATGCCCTCGGCGCGCCAGATATATACACGGCACACGGGTACGTGCATGGCACATGCCCTCGGCGCGCCAGATATATACACGGCACACGGGTACGTCCATGGCACACGCCCTCGGCGCGCCAGATATATACACGGCACACGGGTACGTGCATGGCACGTGCCCTGAGAGCTCCAGATATATACATGGCACACGGGTATCGTAGTTTCAAGACGTAAAAGAATAAACCTCATTCCGCAAGGCATAACGGGGGGGCCGACAAGGGCTTCCCTTGTCGACTGCGGAGCGTCCAGGCTGCCCCGCTGCGCCGCCAAACAGCTGATCAGCACGGTGCGGCGGCCATTCTGATGTAAATGAAGCAGCGATTATTTAAATCGCCGTTTCATTTCCC